AAACATTTCTGTTCGCTCGTCTCCACTAAAGTGACGTGCTTTTGGAGGTATGGCCACGGTGAGGTCTGGACTCCACCGGGCGCGTCTCCGTTGACGCGCGTTGGCTGCTGTCCGTCGGACGTCCGTAAAAACGGACTAGTGGTCTAAACTTATTGAAAGCAATTGGAAAAATGGGAGAGAGAAAAGAACTCCAACATATCCAGTGTTGTGAGATCTGTCTCTCATAAGTGCAGTAGCTCTGTGGGTAATGTGTGTGTGTGTGTGTGTGGATGGGAGCGCACGGCGGTGAGGAGAGAGCAAGGGGACACAGCAAGTGTCCAAGGGGACAGAGAATATTGTTTGACGAATGTTTTGGCTAATCAAAAAGCCGAGTTATTCAAACAGTTTTATGTGTTTTGTGCTACACCATCAGTCCCTAATATTTATGAACTTTTTACATGTTACAGTGCCTTGCGAAAGTATTCGGCCCCCTTGAACCTTTCAACATTTCAGGCTTCAAACATAAAGATATAAACATTAATTTTTTTGTCAAGAATCAACAAGTGGGACACAATCGTGAAGTGGAACAAGATTTATTGGATTATTTAAACTTTTTTTAACAAATGAAAAACTGAAAAGTGGGGCGTGCAATATTATTCGGCCCCCTTGCGCTAATACTCTGTAGCGCCACCTTTTGCTGCAATTACAGCTGCAAGTCGCTTGGGATATGTCTCTATCAGTTTTGCACATCGAGAGACTGGAATTCTTGCCCATTCTTCCTTGCAAAACAGCTGGAGCTCAGTGAGGTTGGATGGAGAGCGTTTGTGAACAGCAGTCTTCAGCTCTTTCCACAGATTCTCGATTGGATTCAGGTCTGGACTTTGACTTGGCCATTCTAACACCTGGATACGTCTATTTGTGAACCATTCCATTGTAGATTTGGCTTTATGTTTTGGATCATTGTCCTGTTGGAAGATAAATCTCCGTCCCAGTCTCAGGTCTTTTGCAGACTCCAACAGGTTTTCTTCCAGAATGGTCCTGTATTTGGCTCCTTCCATCTTCCCACCAATTTTAGCCATCTTCCCTGTCCCTGCTGAAGAAAAGTAGGCCCAAAGCATGATGCTGCCACCACCATGTTTGACAGTGGGGATGGTGTGTTCAGGGTGATGAGCTGTGTTGCTTTTACGCCAAACATATCGTTTTGCATTGTGGCCAAAAAGTTCGATTTTGGTTTCATCTGACCAGAGCACCTTCTTCCACATGTTTGGTGTGTCTCCCAGGTGGCTTGTGGCAAACTTTAAACAAGACTTTTTATGGAGATCTTTGAGAAATGGCTTTCTTCTTGCCACTCTTCCATAAAGGCCAGATTTGTGCAGTGCATGACTGATTGTTGTCCTATGGACAGACTCTCCACCTCAGCTGTAGTTATCTGCAGTTCATCCAGAGTGATCATGGGCCTCTTGGCTGCATCTCTGATCAGTCTTCTCCTTGTTTGAGATGAAAGTTTGGAGGGACGGCCGGGTCTTGGTAGATTTGCAGTGGTCTGATACTCCTTCCATTTCAATATAATTGCTTGCACAGTGCTCCTTGAGATGTTTAAAGCTTGGGAAATCTTTTTGTATCCAAATCCGGCTTTAAACTTCTCCACAACAGTATCTCGGACCTGCCTGGTGTGTTCCTTTGTCTTCATGGTTCTCTCTGCGCTTTAAACAGAACCCTGAGACTATCAAAGAGCAGGTGCATTTATACGGAGACTTGATTACACACAGGTGCATTCTATTTATCATCATCAGTCATTTAGGACAACATTGGATCATTCAAAGATCCTCACTGAACTTCTGGAGTGAGTTTGCTGCACTGAAAGTAAAGGGGCCGAATAATATTGCACACCCCACTTTTCAGTTTAAATTTTCCAATAAATGCCATTCCACTTCACGATTGTGTCCCACTTGTTGTTGATTCATGACAAAAAATAAAACATATATTTATGTTTGAAGCCTGAAATGTGGCAAAAGGTTCAAGGGGGCCGAATACTTTCGCAAGGCACTGTATATGTCACGGGGGTGGAGAATGCCGTGTACCTTTCCACTGTCCAATGGGTAGTACTCTATTAATGAACATGTGTCATCATGTAATTTTCTTCCCCTTCATAAACCCATTTCTGAGTCGGGGGGAGCAAATCAGAGCTGCCACCCAAGTCTCATAGTACCAGCCCCTCTGATCCTCCTGCAGGTGGTGGGTCCAGCAATGAAGACATGGTCTGGTCTTTCAGTGGGGGCTTCAGATAATGTAGGAGATGGATTCTGCTCATCCTTTCCTTGGGACGTTCGTGCGGCAACCAATCAGAGAGCAGCAAAGTGGTCACGCGGACATTAGCGGACTGAGCGAGCAGACTGAAAATACTCGTAAACAGCCAAAACAGGACCCACACCAGGATTCACCAGAACTCAATTCAGGGTTGACAATGGGGGACTCTGTGCTTGTGAAAATATGCGTTGTCATGCTCCCGTGACCTTATGCAACTGCTTCGAGTGTGTTCGCCGATGCGGAAATGCAGTTTAACAATATGAAAAACCGTATGGCGCACCTCCGTGAACACATACTACTGTTATATAAAGCCCGTGGAATGTCTGAGCAAAGACGCGCTGCAAAGCTGCATATTGGAGAAGATCTGTACACAAGAAGCCGCTAGCTAAACTATGTTAGCGTCAGAGCCGGCCGGCTACTTCCGGCACGTGTCAGGACGTTCTGGTGTAAAGACCTCTGCGTCTGAAAACTAGAGAATGTGCGTCTGGTGAGCGGGGCTGCAGCGTTTCAGCGTTGACGGTCTGAAAGCATTTTTGTTAGGTCCAAAAGATAGATACTTTATTGATCCCCAAAGGAGAAATTCAGGTGTCCAGTAGTAGCAAAAATAAAAATAAAATTGATCATTCTAAAAAAAGATAAATAGTGATAATCAGCCACAGCCCTTCAGGTCACAGCAGCAAAGATGTAGTAGCCTCTGGGTGGACCAGTGCTCTGCCAACTGTCGCCCGATTGATGAACATTCAACACGTAAAAGGGAATAACACATAGTCTCTCGTTCAAATGAATGGAGTTGCGCCGGCTGACGGATGCGCAGATGCGTTGTTTCACAATTTTCTTGTGGGCGGGACCACTCGCCGCCATTTTGGATTGCTCCAGTAGAGCACATTTTTTGGCTCATTAGTTAGAACGGCGGAGATAGGCGTGACTCTGTCCATTAATATATACAGTCTATGATTGCAACCAGCGGGAAAGAAAGCAACTAATTTTTTTCAACATTGAATATTTTGACATTGAATTTGAAAACATTGAATATTTTGACACTGAATTTTAAAACCTTGAATTTATTTACACTGAATACTTTTTTGTTACTGTTAATTCGTCCTCCTGTGGACTCACCACCTGCAGAGGATCAGTGAGGGGCTGGTGCTATGAGACTTGGGTGGCATCTCTGACTGCCACCCCCCTGACCCAGAAATGGATTAAAGGGTAGAAAAATGAATGAATAATATAATTCAAAAGCAAAAAAAAAGTGTTGATAATAAAAACACAAAATAACCTTCATAAAACAGATCTGACATTAAGCATAGCAAGTTTCAAAGAGTCAGTGTCAGCGGTTGCGGTCGGCTGATACATACACGGAACAAGAATTCGATTTTCATGATTAGAGTGACTCCAGATGTTTTTCTGTTGTGTATTCTTTGTGTTATCACTAAGGGAATGGCACAGGTGGCTTCATGACAGGGTTATAGTTATGTGTATATATGTGTATGCTCTTACACTGAAGGGTCAAACCGGAAGTGCATTGTATTTTACCCAATAAATGACGCGGTGCGCTTGATGCGTATGGGTTGTATTTGTTTTCCTCCGGGAATGGTTCGTGTTTCCACGGTTATCCCGCCCTTATAATGCTGCGACCAACAACGTGATCTGCAGCTTTGGAAACACTTTGATCTTTGTGCTTCATAGAGTCAGCAGCTGATTGGAGCAGAGGGAACATCTGCATGATCCCCGTGTAGAGCTCCTTCTACCACCGCAGCTGCTCCTGCTCCGTGCGATCGGTGAGTGTGTGTTATGCTAGTGCTGTTAGCGTTAGCATTAGCCACAGGCCGCTAGCATCTTTTACTGTCTGTTCAATGAAAATGTATTCGTTTGTTAACTTGAACCGTATCATTAACAGAATTCTTGGAGCACATTCACCTCGTGTTTATAGTGTTGTCTTTTTATCTGGGATGTTTGTCCCTTATTTTAGAAAGTCCAAGGTAAAGTGCCTTTCGAGGACAGGAACGTCTATTCTATGCATTTGTTTTGACAATAGAACAAAACTATCGTAGGTAGAATTAGTGTGATTGAGGGGTTTGCACAAATGATCTTTAGGGAAACGAGCAGAAGAAGAAGCAGGACGAGAGCAGAGCTAGTATCTGTTTCCTAAGTCGGACACTTCGGGCTTAAAAAAGGCACCGGTTACCCACTTCAACGGGCTATAAAAACATAAACTAAACTATTTCGCGAACGTTACTAGCATAAAACGGAAGTTAAAAGTTGTCATGATATGAGGCAAGACACGCGTCGTGGTCTTCTTCAGAAAAGCCTTTATTGCACTACAGCATGGGGTAACGTCAGCCATGTGTCGGACTCAGTTCTCAACTGGAATTCTAGTGCCCCCTCCTGGTTAGCATACCCAACTACGGTAACATACAATGGACAAAAGACCATCTCACAACATCTCCCTCTTTCAATGTTAGCAGTAAGAGAACCCAACCATTCTTATTTATCTCAACAATATCAATATTAATTACTACTAAATTTTCCCTCAATCTCTTCATTGTTTAGTTTAGCTTTGAATTTTCAACTACAATATAACAAAATAAACACTTTCCTGCACAAACTTTATGCATCAACTTTTCTTTTTTTTTTACAAACAGTCTCAGAACAATGCAGGACTTCACAGGGTAGACTGCCCTCGGTCCTGACAGGGATTATTCTGCCCTTTTAAGTCAGTCTTTAAATCTTAGAGGCACCCTTATCTCACGGCCTCTGGAAGTCGTCCTCACGGGTGTAGATGGTGCAAGGGGAGATGCACTGGAAGGGCCCGCTGGCATCTGGCTAGCTGGTGGTTCAGGTGGCGCAGTCACATCCGTCAGTGGGAACCCGCTGTCCTGCAGCGATGCTGTAGGCTGGGCACAAGGGTGCTCTGCAGGAGGTTCGGCCTCAGGAACAGACTGGAGATGACGCCTGTTCCGACGGGTCACGTTTCCATTCGCCATCTCCACAAGGTAGGATCTCGGCTCTTTGGATAAACTGATGACCCTGGCAGGTGTTGTCCATCCTTTCTCCCCATCGAGCTTCACTCTAACAGGCTGGCCAGGGCGAAGTTCAGGGAGCGCGCGAGCTGAATGCCTGCGGTCATAGAAGAACCTGTACGAACCCTTAGCCATTGCGTCCTTCATGTAAACATGGTCCGGGTTGAATGGACGTGGCAGCAACGCCTCTTCCAGGACAGGAACAGTGGTACGGATTTGTCTACCAGTCATGAGCTGTGCCGGACTTGCACCTGTAGCTGCGATCGGTGTAGAGCGATAACCCATAAGGGCCAAGCAGGGGTCAGGCTGTTTAAGGATGTACTTGGCAGTCTGAACAGCTCTCTCCGCAGCTCCGTTCGACTGTGGGTAATGTGGGCTGGAGGTAATGTGAGAAAACCCATACCTCCGCTTGAATTCTTTGAACTCCGCTGATGTGAACTGCGTTGCGTTGTCACTGACCAGTTCAAGCGGGATTCCCCACCTCACAAACATGCGTTTGAGCTTATTGATTACCTGCCTGCTTGTAATGGTGGTGAGGGAAGAAATTTCAATGTCTCTGGAAAAATAATCGACAGCAACAAGATAGGACTTGCCCTCTAACTCAAACAGGTCAACAGCAATCCTTTGCCATGGGCCACTAGGTAGGGGAGTGGTTACCAGTGGTTCACGTCTCTGCGTTGGTTTGTGTTCTCTGCAAAAGTCACATGAATTCACTTTGTTTGTGATCTGTGTCCCGATGTTTGGCCACCAAACAGTCAGCTTGGCTCGCTCGCGACTCTTTGTGAGGCCCTGGTGGCCCTCATGCAGTTGGTCCAGAACATCATCTCTAAGCACCGCTGGAACTACTATGCGGTCGTGGTATAGGACTAGACCGTCAGACTCTGATAAGTGACCTCTGGCCGCATAGTATCCGCGCAGTGGTGAGTCCCCAGCTATTTTGCAAGGCCACCCTTTTCTGATGAATGTGATTACTTTTTGAAGGTCATCATCGCTTTGTGTGGCTCTGCGAATTTCCTCAAGCTTGGGTGACTTTATTGGTTTGCTAGCTACTATAGTGTTCACGTATGCCTTTACTTGTGTTTCCGTTTCAGGCACATAACTATTTTCCAATGGATGCCTAGAGAGCGTGTCTGCGACTACTAGCTGCTTACCGGGAACGTGTTCAGCAGTAACATTGAATCGCATAAGGCGCATAAGCAGTCTCTGACACCGTAGTGGCGTTTTGTCAAGATCGTACGAGTTGATCAACGGTACCAGTGGCTTGTGGTCAGTTTGTAAACGGACATGGCCCATACCTTGTATGTAGCGGGCGAAGCGTTCACAAGCCCAGACTGACGCTAGACACTCCTTTTCGATCTGCGAATACCTCTTCTCTGCATCAGTAAGTGTGCGCGAGCCAAAGGCAACAGGCCGCAACTCACCTTCGTGGTCCTGCAACAGGGCAGCACCAAGGCCGTAACTACTCGCGTCGGCACTGACTACTGTTGATTTGTTAACGTTGTAGTAACAAAGGGCAGGTGCAGCCATGAGCATCGTTTTTGCTTTGTTAAATGCTTGCTCTTGAGGCGCTGCCCACGCCCATGCAGTCTCTTTTTTGAGAAGATTCGTGAGTGGATGCAGCACCGTAGACAGGCCTGGTAGGAATTTTCCCACATAGTTCACTAATCCAAGAACCTGCCGCAGCTGCTCCACGTTTGAGGGGCTGGACATTTTAGCGATAGCCTCCACTTTACTCTCGTCAGGCTTCACCCCATCAGCGCTAATGATGTGACCGAAGAACTGCAGTTCACTCTTTCCAAAGTGACATTTGGACTTATTGAGCTTGAGACCGGACGCCTTGACCGTCCGTAACACTTTGTCGAGATGGCGATCATGCTCCTCTTTTGTAGATCCATAGACCAGAATGTCGTCCATTACAACGACAGTCCCTTCTAGGCCTTTAAGCAGGTCGGTCATCAGCCGCTGGAAAATCTCAGGCGCTGATGTAATGCCAAATGGCAGGCGTTTGAAGCAAAACCGGCCCATTGGGGTAATGAAAGTGGTCAGTCTCTGGCAGCTGGGGTCTAATGGAATTTTCCAAAAACCCGCTAGAAGCATCCAGAGTGGAGAAAACCTTGGCTCCCGCTAGCTTAGGTGTAATATCATCCAGTGTGGGCAAAATGTAACGTTCACGCTTTACTCCCTTGTTTAAACGTTTTAAATCCACACATACTCTGACCTCGTCCTTGTTGCGTTTTGGAGCAGGCACCATTGGGGCACACCAGTCTGTCGGCTCTGTAACCTCCTCAATGATATTGAGAGTTAGCATGCGCTTTAGCTCTTTCTCCACTTTAGGGAGGAGCGGAAACGGAACCCTGCGTGGCGTGTTGACGCTGTATGGGACCGCTTCCTCAGTCAACTCAATCTTAACTGGCTCACAGTTCAGTAGACCTATTTCCCCAAACACATCACTGGTTAAGTCAGTAGTGATGGCATTAACTCTGGCTACTAGCCCCATGCGCTTTGCTACATCCTTACCCAACAAGTTACTGACGTATTGTCCTTTTATGACTGTAATCCAGTACTGATATTTTTGACATTTGTATGTAGTGGTGGCAAGGAACTTACCCACGCATCTGACTTTCCCACCTGGGCTGTACACCGTGGGCCTAGACGTGTTCAGTTTCGGTTTGTAGCGTAGTTTTCGAAAAGTCTCTTCAGCCATAACGGTGGTATCTGCCCCAGTGTCAATTTTAAAATCCACTGCAGTGCCATTCACAAGTAGCTCTACATCCCAGTCAGTATCAGCGTTTGACTCCACAATGATGTTTGGCTTAGACTTAGTGGTTGCTCCCAAGAATAGTTCTCCAATGAAAAATGAATCTTCATCTGAGCCCATACCAGTCTCTGCTCTGACTTCCTTCAGCATCTTGGACTTACACACGGCCTCGAAATGTCCCATTTTATTGCATTTTCTGCACCTTTTGTTACGGGCTGGACAGCTTTCCTTTTTATCATGCATCCTATTGCATCTCTGACAGTTAAGTTTATTCTCATTGTATTTCTGTCCATATCCCTGGTGCGGTTTATCATAGCTCCTCCTTGTGCTATTGTATTGTTTCTGTCTCACCTCCTTCACTGTAATTTCCACACGCTCTGCACTTTGTTGTTTCACCTGTTCACTTTGACGTGCAAGTTGGATGGCTCGCTCCAGTGTTAGGTCCGCCTCTAACTGGAGTTTTTGAGAAACCTCTTTGTCCATTATTCCAATAACAATCCGGTCCCGGATCTGCTCGTCCTTCCCCGCACCGAACTCACAATGCCGTGCAAGCTCGTACAGGCTCCGCACGAAAGCTTCGACTGCCTCACCGGCCCTTTGGCTCCGCTTATGAAAACAGGCGCGATCGTGGATGACGTTTCTCTTCGGGACAAAGTGTTCATCAAACTTCTGAATAACCAGATCAAAGTCGTACTCTGGATGTGGCATGGCCTCGGTCGCCGCAGGAAACACAAATGAGCCGTAAATAGGTTCGGCATCTCTCCCCATAGAGTACAAGAGCGAGTTCACCTGCACTTCGCTGCTCTCTTTGTCAAGTTTTGATGCGACTCGAAACCGGGAGAATCTCTGCCGCCACGTGAGCCACTCCGCTGGCTGCGTGAAATCAAAAGGCTCGGGAGGTCCAAACTTTGCCATCGTGCTCTCAATGTCGGCGTGAAGTCGTCAATTCTGACACCATGTCATGATATGAGGCAAGACACGCGTCGTGGTCTTCTTCAGAAAAGCCTTTATTGCCCTACAGCATGGGGTAACGTCAGCCATGTGTCGGACTCAGTTCTCAACTGGAATTCTAGTGCCCCCTCCTGGTTAGCATACCCAACTACGGTAACATACAATGGACAAAAGACCATCTCACAACAAAAGTGTTAGCTTTCGAACGATATATATGAATAATACCTTATTTAAATGTGGTTTTCTATATGCTGTTGAAAAGACCAAAAACATCGATGTTTTGGCTGGAACTATTATCCTGAGTCGGACTCCTCAGTTCCAGAGTTTGTACAGATTCCACTCGAATAGATCCGTGGTTCCATCGCTCTCTCACGGCTCCGCGGCGCTGGCGCATGGGCTCCGAAATGACTATATTTCAACAGTTTTGCATTAACAAAGATCTTGTCTTAATAACCATTTTCCCCATGTAATTTCGTTTTTAAATATATGTTTACACTCTCAAAATGCCACAAGCACACTTGAATTGTTTTATAATTTTAGGATTAAAGTTTCTAAATTCTTCTTTCCCCCAACTAGAAAACTTAATATAGGTAGCATTCACTGTAGTAGCCAATTAACAAAAATAGAAATAAAAAGTATTAAATTATGGTATTAAAATGTAACAAAAATGGCTTTAGCTCACAGTAATACCAAAGACAACCTTCCCAGAAGAAGCTTTGAAAAGATGCCATTTACATGTCAACATTATTTGTTATAAATCATCTTTTATTAAACACATGAAGTCATAAGGTAATGGCACATAATGTTAAAAGTGGATTAAAAAAAGAATAGACATAAAGCCTTGTTTGAAACCCCTGCAGTATCTCGGTGCCTCACATTGATCTCAGAGACTGACCCAGCTCTGCTCCAGTTTGTCATGATGTGAACTGTTCATATCTGTAAGTTTAATGCTCTGAATGTTATGTTAATGTCACATGTGTTTGCATGTGTGCAAAGCTTACAAACATCCCTAACCATGCCTTTGTTTTAACAATAGATAATGTTGATGCACAATGAAGGAAGAGCTGCCTCCGACTGACAGGAACTCAATCTTCACACCCAAAATACTCCAAATATCCAAGTGGAAAATTCAATGAGATGCTTAAGGGATGCTTTAGACAGTGTGAAGTACAGGTGGATTCAGAAGTTCAAAGGTTGTGATGTTAGGAGTGAGGTGGCATGTATCCCTCTGTACTCTGTACTTGTACTGCACTAAAGAAAATTACCCTCAAACCTCCACTATAAGCCCTGGTCCCTGTGACCCACAGAGAGCCCTAGTCCCAATGTTTCATCTTGTAGATAATGACTTAAAGCATCAGCTGACTGCACTAATGCAGCTGGTGAGATTGTAAACTTAGTCATTCAGCCAACTTCACTTCTTGGTGGAGACCAGGAAAGACCCAGGACATGTTGGAGGGACTGTGTCTCTCAGCTGGCCTGGCAACGCCTCAGGATTCCTCCTGATGAGCTGGAGGAAGTGTGTGGAGTCTGCTCTGACCCTTAGGGAAAAAAAAGGAAGAACATATTATATTTTGTATGTTTTTCTCATTAATTGACCACTGTGTATGCAGTGAAAGAATACTGACCTGTGAAGCATCTTGAGTGCCCAAAAACTCTACACAAAACCGATTAATAATAATAATAGGGCTTGAATATGTATATTGTTTTAGCACTAGTTTTCAACTATTTAAATAATTAGTATTTAGTCTTGTGACAGTACCAGAGTCTAGATATGAAGTTGTAAATGATTGAGTACTAAAATAGTAGATTTTTGAAATTGGTCAAAAAATAGTTGTAATAAGAAACTGATCATTAAATGGTTTATTGAATCTTCGATAGTCTTTAACATGTGAGGAGAGGCTTAGTCTCAGCTAAGTCCATATTGACTGCAGAATGAAAGGAAAATGTGTCTACAATCCAAGCAGGAGTCATCACTTGGGTCAAATGGAGAATGGGTAAAACATTTTTTAATTTAATTTTTTATAACAGCCTTAGTTTCCATTATTTGTTGTCACACAAATAGTAAACTAATACTCAGATCTATGTCTCACTGACTGCAGGAGAACATGGACCAGTGGACTCACTCCTTCACTGTATCCAACAGATCAGTGGGTGGATGCAAAACAACTTCCTTCAGCTAAACAGAAAAAAACTGAAATGATTGTCTTTGGTTCCCAGAAACAAAGAGAGAGCGTCATCTGTCACCTCCAGTCTCTCTCCCTAAAACCTTCAATCAAGGTCAGAAATCTAGGGGTAATACTGGACTCAGACTTATATTGTAATAGCCACATTAAATCAGTAACATCAGCAGCTTTCTACCATCTAAAAAAAAAACATTGCCAGGATCAAAAACATCTACAAATACTACTGCAATGGCCTGCTCACAGGTCTGTCAAACAGGCTGTGGTTAGCTTACAAACATCCCTAACCATGCTATTTAGGACATGTGCGTGCTTAAAATACTGGTGGTTGGCAGCTCGTCCTCTCCTCTGTCAGAAGGAATTTTGGAGGTGTGTGTGTGTGTGTGTGTGTGTGTGTGTGTGTGGGAAGGTAATTGCACTTAGGAACAAAGGGAAAACTTTACTTAACGCCAAACTAGGCAAAGTGAACATCACGATATGCATTTTAAGGCACACAAATAATATGTAACTAATATTTAACACATGTAACACTTTGAAATGTCTTACTAAGCTGACCACGTGTCAGTAAGGTGCCTCGTGGCTGGAACTACTAACAGAACTTAACATTTATATGGGCAATACACATATATACAATACCAGGCATGAGAAATATAGCTTCTAACATTCCAATTGCAGTATTACTTACTCGTAATTGACGCACACAAGCACGGCACATGCTCTAAGCAACAACATCGGCAACACTGAACTGAACAAGTTAAGACATGCCCAGGTAGAATGGAATGTCCCATTAGCAGGGGGGCCGTGGAGCAGTTCAAGTGAAACTGACCACAGGGGGTTTTATACACATGCCTTTGTTTTAACAATAGATAATGTTGATGCACAATGAAGGAAGAGCTGCCTCCGACTGACAGGAACTCAATCTTCACACCCAAAATACTCCAAATATCCAAGTGGAAAATTCAATGAGATGCTTAAGGGATGCAGGAGATGAGAAGAAGTGCTTCAGGTTTTGAGGATGAGAAGGGTTATACTGTAAAACAAGAACATGAGAACATTAGAGAACAATAAACCATGAAAAGTGAGAACCCTCTTGCTTTAGACAGTGTGAAGTACAGGCACTGGCTTCCTGTGGCTCAGAGAATAGACTTTAAAACAGCTCTGCTTGTTACAAGTCTCTCCATGGCCTCACACTAAAATATATTAGCACTCTGAGGTTTCCCTGAAATGTAAAGTGCATTATAAATAAAATTTATTATTATTATTATTAGTGACATGTTAGTACCATATGAACCAGCCCGGACTCTGAGGAGCACAGGGACTGGACTCCTGTTAGTGCCCAGAGTCAGAACTAGGGCTGGGCGATATGGCTGAAAACTATATCACGATATAAGTCATTCATATCGGTCGATAACAATACATATTGAGTGTTTTGTTTTTTTACCTAAATAAATACATTTGTTGTGTGGGCTAACCAACCTTAGCAGCCTTGTTTACAGTCACGGGGGAAAGTTTTGCGGTTCCTGCTCGGCTGTTATTGGTCGAGAAGCCTCTGCCTACATCCCCCACAATGCCATGCGCTTCTGACTCTGCTTTACTTCCTGTGTTTTCTTCCCATTTTTCCAACGGAGTGAAGTTAAACTATTGAAGTTCTATCTACCCCGTTTTCTATCGCTATCGAACACGTGTCTATCGTAATATATATCGTTATCGTTTTATCGCCCAGCCCTAGTCAGAACTAAACATGGGGAGGCTGATTTTCAGATTCATGCTGCTAAAATCTGGAACAATCCTCCTGAAAGTGTGAGACAGGCCTCCTCTCTGACAATGTTTAAAACCAGGTTAAAAACAGTCCTGTTTAGCTGTGCATACAACTGAGGGATTTTATATTTTTATCTTTCTTTTTAATGTACTGCGATTATTTATGATTTTAATGCTTTCTTATATATGTGAATTGTGCTATACAAATAAACTTGCCTTGCCTAAACAAAATGTGAAAACATTTCTGGCCCCGAAAGACATGGACAGGACATGGAGGTCTGAGGGACATGGACAGGGCAGGTCTGACTGCTAATTTACACATGACGCGTTACAGCTCGTACTTATTATACGCGCAGCAGACGCGCATAACTTGTTCCCATGGTAACCAATGTGGATATTTACTACTGTCATACGCGCGTATGACGGACGTAGGACGCGGGGCTGCGCTCTAATTTAGGATTGATTTCTAATTTTGTGCGCGCAGCAACGTGTCTCCCATTGAAATCTCATGTTTAACATGAGATTTCTAGCGGTCCTTGGCTCTCGATCGCATCTGCACACACACATGACTTGTATATAAACATTAGCAGGAGGAGCAGCAGGTTTTACAGTGATTCTCTCATCAGTCCTCTGGCCCGTACTGTCCTCTACACTGCTCCATAGACTACACAGGGACAGCATCAGAAGCCCCGGACCTGCGCGCACGGTCAGTGTAGATACTGCAAAAAAAAATGACACGCAGTCAACGCTTACGCGCTGTTAACGCCTACTGTGTAAATTCCCTGTGAGGGGCATGGACACAGCAGGTCTTTGCTCCTCCGCTGAAACCATCTATTAGTTTGTGTCTGGATGCACTTATAATTTTGCTCACCTTCTGCAGCTGTGATGATCGGGGTTCTTCAGGAACATGCACATGTGTCATGTCTGGACTTGGCCCCTGTTCTTACTAAGGCCATGTCTGAGACTCCAGTCCTGAAGGAGGAGATAGAGAAGTTAGCACTTTATTGATCACACAGTGGCAGAATT